CGCCAAGTTTACAAACACCGTTTTGTTTAGAATTTCCCTCCCCTCCTTCAGGAAAAAAAAAAATTCCCGATTGAAATGTATGGGATGTGGGTGAAATTGCTGGCACGGTTGTAGGGCACACAAGTATTTGCTGTAACTGGGATGAACGGAAAAAGAAAGGAGTCAGAGTCAACATTATGCCTCACTCCCTGGAGGTGTGCAAGCTCGCCCCCGAGGCAAAGCAGCTTTTGCACTTGGTGGGGACAACACCGTGATCAGAGAAAACGTGGGGGGCTTTTTTCAGCATCCTTCCCCTGGGCTGAATGAGGAGCATTCCTGCAGAAATGCCCCTGGAGGTAGTTAACAACGAGCTCCAAACCCTGCAGCGCCTTTCTGTCTCCCCTAGAAAGAAAAGTGCTGGTGATGGGTAAATCACTGGGGTGGTGAGTGAGCTGGGCGCAGGCTGCTCTCATCCTCAGGGCAAAAGGGCTTAAATGTTGCCCATCACACTTTAGATTTAGTTTATGATCAGATATTTCCCTCTCTGCCCCTAAAAGCATGCCAGGAGACTACAGCTTTCCCACCTGCTCTGCCAGCGTTGGGCTGCTGGAGCACCCTCCTCTCCCCCTCCTGGAGGGGGTGCTGGGAAGGCCGTGGGTGCACCCTGCAGGGGGGTGCCTCCATACTGCAGTGAGCAAACGGGAGGGCAGGAGGCCAAAATCCCACACTGTGACAGAAGTTTCTGTCTAGTCTTGGCTAAAGTGAGGAGGCCTATGATACTGCTGCTCATTACTTGTGTCCCAGAAAGAGCTCCCAGTCACACACCAGCACTTCCCCACGTCAAGGGAGATGGCAGCTTAAATAAAGCTCTCAGTAATTTTGCCTGTTATGTTTTTTTGAAAAATATTCTCCAGCAGCTCTTATTGCAGTTTTTGCTTTCAGATTGTGTTAAAAAGGTAACAGTTAGCTAAACTGAAGGAGGAATAAAAAACAAACCAAAACAACAACAACAAAAAAGTTTTTAAACCTGTAGCCATTGATTTCTTTAGTGTATTGCACTCAGTCTTGTTTTCAGAATGACACAGTAACCCCCAGCAGATTTATGTGCCAACACAAAGATTAGTGACCCAGAAGCCTGACTGAAACAGCTTTTCTGCTTCCAGAAGACAGGTTGCTCTGCACATGCACAGACTATTTTGTCAGGAAAGATGCACTAGCCCCATTAGCTTTTCATTCTCTCCTGAAAAACCCTCAATGTTTATCCTGCACAGCGTGGTTTTAATTTTATTGTGTTCTTCAGTGAAGTGGTCTAACTATATAGATTGCTTGGTTTCTGAGACAGAGAAGAACAAGAACTTAACTCATATACCTTAATGGTGTAGTGCTAGCATGTCTTCAATTGTCTGACTCTCATATCCACTGCCTGAATAGCTTTCAGATGAAGAAAAATGTCTGTAACTAAAATATTCAGTGTGTTCTGTTGTTATTTAACAGTAAGCAGAGTGGTTAAGCCAGGTCTTAAACCTGCTTAATCCCGCTGAGCTAAATAGATTTTATTATTGACTCCCATGGTCCCAGAACTCTGACCTTAAGGCTGAAGTTAAAAGCTAATTTTTTGCAGTCTGTTCCACTAAACCAGAAGCACTTGCTGGATACATTTGCAATGGAGAATGTCCAGCTGTAAATTACAGCTGTTTGTAATCATACCCAAACACAACACTCATTATTATTCTTTTGTTCTTTTTAGGCTGAAAAGCCCACCATGAGGGAGACTGCACAGTACTTAATCCCCACATTAAATTTCCTCGCAGCTCATATTCATGTGCAAGATAAGATTTTCCATGAAGTAAAGATTTACAGTGGTCCTAGGGCACTTTTATTCCCCTAGCTGCTTTTATTTCTCTGTGCTGTAGTGTAGACCAAGTGTCTGCTGAAGAGTTTTGAACACTTAGAGGAAAGCGTTGTACCACCACTGAATTTCCTCTCTAGTTGTAATAGGGGAAAGATAGCTCATTCACCATAATGCTTGGGTGATACTTAAGAGACATGCTTAATTCACAATTGCGGTCTATTCTCCTTTCTGTGTACTTAACGCTGGAGGACGCAGGCAGACCCTGCTAGCTCTGCCTGTATGAAGCTCGGCGCGGGCACGTAGGACAGAGGGAGAGCTGAACCCACTCAGTCCAGGAGCCCTGTGGCCATGCTGGCAAGCCCGCACATCCCAGCTGATAAATCCTGTAAAGAGTCCAACTCACTAGCTTACGTTCAGCACCTGATTAATATATACATGTCATCCAGACCGGAACTGTTAAGTACAGTCTATGACAAACCTTTTTGATTTACCACCTTGGGCTGTTGACAGACAAGGCATCTTGACACTAACATCCATTTGGCAGTGTAGACAAGCCCCGATCATGATGTCTGGTGAGTTGCACAGCCTGTCTGAGCTTCAGTCCACCTTCCTGTCAGGTGGAAGGGGTAGTACTTTGCATTTCCATGTAACCGTGCCTTGTCTGTCCGTGTTTGACCACGGTTAGGATGTTGAAACGCAGTCTATGCCAGGCATGAGCTGGTTTACCCTAATGGGTCTGGCCAGTTGCATTTAAGATCCTGAAGGGCAAACAAATACTCCCTGTTGTCCTCTGGGGCAGTGAAAGGTTTGGGGAGCTGAGCAGCACGTGGTGCAAGGCAGCAAAGCCCCACATCTGCACAGAGACAGACATTTGCAAGCATTTGCCTCTCATGGGCGCATGCACACATTTAGCACTAAGCTGCAAGGAAACACGAACAGAAAAGCTTGACCTGGGACAATCCAGTCTGTTCCCCTGATCATGCAAGCAGCCACAGGATCAGTTATTAGTCCAGTGGGATCTGTAGCATGTCTCTTCTTCTTCAGACAAAGCCACATTGAGATACACCATTTGGGTTAGGAGGCCTGGGGAGCGACTGCCTGTAAAGTATTAAGGCAACAATAAGAGGCAATTTAGACTTTTAATAGATCGATTAAAGCAGAGAAGGCAGCTGTCCAAGCAGCCTTAAAACTTTCAGCGGACTGAGCCAAAGATTTCTTGTTCTCAAGTATCTGCTTGAGCTGTGATTAAGCGAAGCAGTTAAACTTGTGATACCCTAAAGTAAGTAAATAATCCAGTGGCAGCTAGCACAAATACTCATGCGCTTCATGTCACTCACATACTTATGTTTGTGTTGGACTGAGTTTTTTGATAACATCGCCTTTCTCACCGTGAGAGTCCTCCACATGAGAAGCTGCACGGTCAACTTATCAGTGGAATGACTCAGCTAGCTGGCCGGCTGCAAAGGCTTCATGTGATGGGTCTGTGTAATCAGTGACAGCCGAGGGGAAGCCTTGGCGCGAGACAGCTGATCAGGGTCCCAGCAGAGAATGACGGAACCAAGATCATGGGTTCTGCAGGAGTCAAAGCTTGGCTGGAGAAGAGTACACACACGTACACACACGGTGTTCACTGCAACAGAAACAAACAGCTCTCACAGCGTTAGCACAGTGCTTAAACTCTCTGGATTATCTTTGAGAGGAAAGAGAATACCTCCAACAGGGAGGTACATCAAGGGATATATCATTTATGCCTTACAAGAAATCTTGGCTGTTTGGAGATGCTGGTGTCATACAGCCGCAGCCCTCCCACGAAGTACAGGGAGGCAAAGGGCGACTGCTGCTAGAAATGGTCCAGAGTTTCTCAGCCCTCCTAGTTACAGAACTTGAAGGAGGAAGGGTAATGATATGTATTGTATATAGGATACTATTTCCAGTATCGGAGATTTGTAAATTATTGAAAAGGGGCTTTA